TTTGTACATTCACATCAGTCCCTAACCCTCAAGGGGCGTACAATCTAAGGTCCCTAACTCACATTCATACATACACATACTAGGGACAATTTAGACAGGAGCCAATTCACCTACCAGCATGTATTTGGAATGTAGGAGTAAACCGGAGTATCCGGAGGAAACCCACGCAGGCACATTGAGAACATGCAAACTCCAGGCAGGTGGTGCCGTGGTGGGGAATCTACGTGAGGAACCTACGACCCTAGTACTGCCAGGCAGAAGTGCTAACCATTTAGCCACTGTGCTATCTTAAGTAAATACACAGGATGAAGATAACATCACCAAATAGTGGAACTAGTAGAGAGCGTATCAGCGCAGGGTTAAGTTTCTAGCTCCAATGGTCACCCAGGGACCAGTACTTAAAGCGGAACATCCCGTTTTGGGTGGAGCTCCGCTTTAAAAATCCTGTCCCCTGCCAACATCTGCTCAGACTCAGACCCTTGTTCTCTGTGCGGAAGCATCGTCTCCCTACAAAGGTCCAACATTCTCCCTACTGAGTCAGCCAGGGCTCTCCAATCAGTGGGGAGCAAGACCTTTGCTGAGTGCAGCGCTATAGGTCTGACTCAGCATGGGGCATTGAGGAGACCACTGCCTCCACACAGGGTCCAGGGGCCCGCCTATGCAGATCTTGGCAGGGGACAGGCTTTTCTACGTAGGCTATGCTGCTTTAGAAAGAATATTTAACTGTAGAACTTACTTTTGTTTTGATGTATCTGGAATGTATTAAGCTGATGGGCTTTAACCCCTTGACGCCGAATGTGTGTGTTTGTGCTGGGAGCGCACCGCATGGCGTGCTCCCAGCATGAAGGCCGAGGTGTCAGTGAGAGCCCCAGTTCCCTTTCTAATGATCAGGACCCAAGTCTCTCGATTACGGGTCACATGATCACTGTGATAGCCTCTGACTGGCTATCACAGTGATCAGTCACTGTGAAGCCCCCCTCCCCCCCTTGTTTTTTTTCTCTGAATGGAGGAGAGAGATGCATTGTATCTCTGTCCTTTCAGAGAGGAAAAAAAAGTGTGTGTTTAAAAAATAAATAAAATAATAAAAATACTTAGATCAAGGTTTGATCTAGGCCAGTGCCACGGTTAGTGTTTGACACTGATACTATTATTATTATACAGTATTTATACAGCGCCAAAAAGTTTGCTCAGCGCTGTACATTATAGTGGGGGACAGAACATGAGACAATACAGTAACAATACAATACACGAGGGGTTCGAGGGCCCTGCTCTTTCGAGCTTACAATCTAGGAGGGAGGGGATAGTGGTACAGGAGGAAGTGGCCGTGGGGGATGGAGTGGTAGGAGAGAGTGGAGGAGATCGGCTGTTAGGTGAGGGCGGGGTAGGCTTCCCTGAAGAGATGGGATTTCAGGGTGCGCCAAAAGGTGAGGAGGGTAGGTGACAGTCTGATATATTGGGGTAGTGAGTTCCAGAGGATGGGGGAAGACCTTGAGAAGTCCTGGAGTCGGGCATGGGAGGAGGAGACCAGGGAACTAGAGAGTAGGAGGTCTTGTGAGGAGCGAAGAGTACTTGTTGGGTGGTATTTGGGTATCAGGTCGGTGAGGTAGTTTTGGGCAGTATTATGAATGGCTTTGTATGTCTGTGTTAGTAGTTTGAATTTAATGTGCTGGGCAATCGGAAGCCAATGGAGGGAATGATAGAGGGGGGTGGCAGAAAGTGGATGAGTCTGGCCGCTGAGTTCAGGATAGGCTGAAGTGGGGATAGCATGTGTTGGGGTAGGCCGGTGAGGAGGGAGTTGCAGTAGTCGAGTTGTGAGATAATAAGGGAGTGGATGAGTTGTTTAGTAGTGTCTGGGGTTAGGAACAAACATATTTTGGAGATGTTGCGGAGGTGGAGCCTGCATGAGTTTGCCAGCGATTGGACATGGGGCTAGAAGGAAAGACTGGAGTCTAGAGTGACACCTAGAACTTTGGCTTGCGGGGTGGGACTGATGGTGGCGTTGTTAGTCGTGATGAAGAGGTTGGGGGGGGGAAACTAAGAGCTCGGTTTTGGAAAGGTTTAATTTGAGGAAGTGGAGTGACATCCAATCTGATATATACTAATTTAAACATTAAAAAAAAAAAATAAATAATCCTGACCATGACCTTTGACCCAGTTAGTGGCAGGAAAAAAAAGCAAAATGTGCACTGTTGATTCTGGGCCATACTATGGGTAAAAACAACAACTAACATACACGCACATGTGGTATCGCTCTGATCGTCTGGAGAAGGAGAAATTATTTAGGGAGTTGTTCTTTAGTGGTTGGTTACAGTGGTAGCAAGAAATATACAGCTAAATTTAAAAAAAAAATTATTTTCACTATTTTGGGTCTGTTTTCCTTTGATAATAAAAAAATCTGGAGATATCCATTATCATTTACCACCAAATTTGTCCTGAAAAAAACGAAGTATAGTCCACCTGCATGCACAGAATAGTTGCGGCGATATGTACGGTTTTGCTAACATGTCAAAGTTGCAAAATTGTACTTAGGCGTTAAGATTTGTTTTTCCCTTAGGCGTCAAGGGGTTAAGTAGTAGAGCCATTTCGTCTTTCAGGACAGCACCTTGAGAGACCTCGGCTCCTCCCCACCTGAGGAAACACCTCCACCCCAAATAAAACCTCTGTCACTCCCCTCCGAACTCAATTTTGGTGTTTCCTCCGGTGGGGAGACATCTTTGGAGGCCTCTCCAGGTGCTGTCAGGGGACAGCGAGACCTGGTGGGTTAGGGTGGAGACAGGGCAGTTATGGGATGAAGGCCGGAGAGCCGGCTGCTATCCCCCAGAAATGCAGTACAGTAGCCTTATGTGGCTTTGCTGACTCTCTCTGGTGACCAGGGTGAGCTAATAAGCAGATTGATTTATGCTTTTGATTGCAATGTTTAGGAACCATTTCTACATGCTTTTTGTAAATGCAGAAAATGTTATTACATGCAGTCTGCCTTGTTTGGTTGGTGTGAGATCATTCACATTATTTACAATATTGCTTCTGTTTCTTTTCTTTCTATGATGACCTTCTCAGGGTGTTGGCTGGTGGAAGTACGAATTCTGCTATGGAAAATATGTTCACCAATACCATGAGGTAATTGCAATATTCACTACAACCAGGAGATGGCGCTAATGAGCCATGCATGCAGAGAGGCCGTTTTCACTGTTAGAAGCTTTGCTTTTCTGATCATCATCACCCCACATAAAACACAAGAGTTATCCCCTTAAATATTGTGATTTGCCTTGTGTTACTGCATACATGAGTTATTTGATTTATGTCGTTTATTTCTGCAAGTGTGAGCCAATCATCTGTTTTGGTGTAGAACAAAGTAGGACTTTGCTCCATTAACCTCCCTGGCGGTATTCCCGAGTGTAGCTCGGGGTAAAGTTTCAGCACCACAAGCGGTAACCCCAAGCTACACTCGGGAATATCTTGCAGCGCTGCTCCGGGATCTCTTCTTCACTTACCTTGTCCTGCTCTCCCGCAATGTCTCTCCTGCAGTGTCCCCTGTAATGTCCTCCAGTCGATGCCGGCATCTGTCTTCTGGGTTCCTTTCCCTGCGACGTTGGGACGTACGGGGGACAGAACGGCGGGAAACTTAAAAATGTGAAAAAGTGACATTCACTAAATACACTAAAATCACATAGTATAACATTCCTGTATCAAACCATTTCACATACATTTTGTCCCGAGTGCTTTGTCCGGCGCCCTGCCTGCATTTTTACTGTTCTTTCTGCCTGGAAACTGAGAAATGTCCATGGCGTCCAAAAAGTGTCCCTTTAGGTCAAAAGCGGTTTTAGACCGGCTAGAGAACAGCGATAGTAAATCAGAACCACTTGCAGAATTGAGTGATAATGATTTGTAGGGAAATTCCTCATCAGACACTGAAAACGATTTTGCGACTTTGCTCAGTGATGTGCGAACTTGGCGCTATATTTCAAATTTCAGTGTTTTTTGGTTTGATTATATTATTGAATTACATTTATTATTATATTATTATTGTTATGATTATTAAATCATAATTTATGATTTCGTTTTTCAAATTTTAACATACCCGGGATGTTTACTAGACTCTTGATCGGACAGATTTCAGTGAGTTATTCCTAAAAATTACAGGCCTACAATAAAAAAAATACATATTTCCATGCAAAAAAAGTACCGCTTTGAGCACAGAAATATGAACATAATCAGACCGCTAGGGAGGCTACTGGAAAGTAAAAACAAGGCTGGATAAAGTTCTATGAGCTAGGAAGTGGGCGCTGGCTGCTACAGAATTGATCAGGGTTTGTTGAGAAGTATTCATTATAGTCATTGACAGCATGACTGGCACCTGGATTCTGCCTTCGTTTTTTCACTTTGACTTTAGACATGTTTGAAAGCCTGATATTTTAGGAACAGAAAACAGCACAGTAGATGGTGCAGGTGATGCCAACAGATGTTGAAACGCTCTCGTTAGGTTGCCAGCAATAGGAGAGATGCAAGCCAAGATGGATACTTTGAGGTGGACACTAAGAGAACCAAAAGAGAGGAAACTGTAAAGACCTCCTAGACTGGTATGGAAGGGAGATTGAAAGTGTATTCTGGGTAGTATAGTAGTACCTCCACAGGGCAAAAATTACATTAAAGCATAAAGCGTAATCAATGGGCTCTATATGACGAAGTTACTTAGTCAGTCTGGCTGAAAAAAGACAAAAGTCCATCCAGTTCAACCATTAAAAAAAAAAAAAAAAAAAGTATAATCCTACACCCACAGTTGATCCAGAGGAAGGCAAAAAAAAAAAACCCAGCAAAGCGTGATCCAATTTGCTCCTGTAGGGAAAAAATTCCTTCCTGATCCCCCGAGAGGCAATCTGATATTCCCTGGAATATCTGAACAGTTCATTATGTCCATAATAGGCACATCAAGGGTTAACTCAGGTGGACTTAGTGCAGCACCTCATCATATAGGAGTACCTGTAGTACAACAGATACAAGAGGACGCGATCTAAGTGCAGCATACTAGGTCTTTCTTAATAAAACCAAAGCTTGAAAAAGAGGCATTACTGCTTCACAACATATAGCCAAGCCTGCCTCCCGACATCTGACGATTCTCATTCTTAGATTGTCTTCCCTAGACAAGGATTGCATGTATACCAGTGGATACCCTTCATTACTTGGTTTGGGCTCAGATTGCTTTGTTCAGCAGTGCCATCTGATGAATGCTTGGCCATTGTTTTATTTTATTAATACAGACATGCTGCACTTAGAACGCTCCCTTTTGTATTTTATTTGTAATACCTCCTTTAGGGATATTGTAAAATTTATATATATATATAGATATATAGATAGATTGTCTGTATGTGGTGTATTCTCATGTTATTGACTAGGCCAGAATAGGGCTGAGCTAGATATATTTTACACAACAAAAGCACAGCCAAGGACTCGCTATGTTAATTTTCTGCAAGATCCCCTTGGCACTCAGGGGCCAACTTGTTACATTTCAAAGGAGGTAATTTGCAAACTTTCAAGGGTGATAGAATACAGATAGCTCAGTTAGACTTGGTCAACATTTACCATCTAATAACAAGAAAAGGGGTATTAAGTATGGCAAATAGCATTCTTCAAAGGATAACTTGTTTTTCTAGTAAAAGAATGCAGTTTAGGAAATATCTGGACAACTTTAAATAGAATTATGACTGCAGCTGTCCAAGCCCAAAAGGCATTACCCATCACCCAGAAGATCAACGAGGCTCCTAAAAGTGGCGAATCGGAGTGCTTGTCATTGTACTGAATGGGAAAAATGTATATTAGGGAAGCTTCTTTTTGGTTAAGTTGTGACAGGAGCAAGGGGTTCTCTGAAGGTTTCTAATGAATTGCATCTAAGTATCCTGTCATCTGCCTTGTCTGTACCTCTGTCTTCTGAACTGATTAAATGCTTCTCTCTGGAAAAGAACTGTTGGACTAGTTGCTGCGGGAAAGTACATTTATAAATATGCACTGGTCATCCTTCTCTTAATTAATAGAAGACAACACCTTCCTTGCACAGACTTTTTTTGGGACCATACCCCCTTCATTACTCTAATAAGGAAGCATGGCCCCAAAAGATGTCAGTGCAGCGGAGGTACTGTACTAACCAGGCGGGGGCGGACTGACAACTCATGGGTCCCCCGGGCAATAGGGGATCATGGGGCCCCTATGTCTTTGCCCAACTCAAAAAAGCCTATGAAAAAGGTACCAGGGGCATCTCATGGGGCCCCCTACTGACCCCGGGTCCTCGGGCAGTGCCCGAGTTTTCAAATGGTCAGTCCGCCCCTGTACCCAGGATTCATTTTCAACCCTTTCTGGACATCTTGGGGCGCCTCTTTAGTTTCTTCCTGTTCTCCCAGCATCCACCTCAGAATATCCGTCTCTCCTATTTCCAGCAACCTAACAAACGTTGTGGAGCATCTGTTGGCATTACCACGGGATAGTTTTTTTTCCCGGTAATATGCCTTGACAAAGTCACTTTGTCAGTGTATTGGTGTTTTATCTGCACTATCCAATGCACTCTGGGTTTTTTTTTCTATTTTTGCAGCAAATATGGCCTTCAGATTTATACAAAGCTTACGATTACAAGATTAGTCAGATTTTCCTTGGTACCAGTGCAATTCACTACATTTAAAGCCCAAATCCATACTGCATGGATCATCAGCTCATTTTTGTCTAGGGGATTGGAGAAAGCTTATACTCACCCGATCCTCCACTCCCCCACAATCCGGCGGTGAACTGTTCATGTCCAGGCAGGTCTAAGGGCGTGATGACGTCCGGAACAGTCCACCACACAAGACCGGGGGGTGTTCTGTAGGGAGGGTCAAAGGATTTTGAAGGGAGGGTCAAAGGATTAGGTAAGTGTAGCTCCATTCTTCAATCCCCTATACAAAAATGATCAGTTGACCCATGCAGTGCAGGCACAGCCCCACTGCATTGGAATATTTTTTTCTTTTTTGCCTGGATTTGGGCTTTAAAGATTTAATTAACTGAAATCTAATATTTTGATTTTAGTTAGATGGCTGTAGGTTTACCTGTCAACTGGATTCTTGTATACCTCAGGACTCCAAGTAATAACATCTCTGCACTGGTGACACTGTACTGGTAGGGTGACAGTATGTAAAAAAAAAAAAAAAAACAAAACAAATAATATAAAAAAAATGTAAAAAAAAAGTGTAATGTTTAAAAATTATAATGTTTGGTTATAAACTAATTTGTTTTTGTTTTTTTTTACTAAAAAGATAACGGAATAAATTTTGGGCAAGATTGATGATGAAATATTATTTATTTGCAAAATTTTATAAGAAAAACACTTTTTTTTCAAAATTTTTGGACTTTTTCATTTACATAGCAAAAAAAAATAAAAATCCCATAAATGCCATCAAAATAAAGCTTTATCTGTCTCAAAAAAATGCTACAAAATTCATATGGGTACAGTGTTGCATGACCGTGCAATTGTCATTCAAAATATGATAGCGCTGAAAGCTGAAAAGTGGCCTGGACAGGAAGGGGGTGAAAGTGGTGTCCGGACTGGAAGTGGTTAACTGCAGGCGGAGGGCACATGTGTCCCGTGTAGCCCTGCTGACGGCAGTTTGTCAGACTGAGAGGCCAACAGCTGCTGTAAATGGACAGGGCAACGAGCCATACTTGTGTTTAGGACATTGCAAGATATCTGCGTTCCGAGCGTTCATCTCTGGGTGCAGACTTCCCTAAACATAACTACGGCAGGGTGCACCGTCCACCTGCAGCAGATGTCAGACTCCCAAGAGTTTGTCAGATTGCTGGCAGTGAGGATGGACAGGACCCCCTGTGCCCCCTCCGCCTACAACTGAACGCCAGAGCCCCATACACTGGGGCTAAATATCCAGTGTGCACGGGGCCTTAATTTGTGGTGAATAGGAGGAGCCATCCAAGACATCTAGGAAACTACCGGTATATTCTGCTAACCAGCTTCTTGAGAAATGTGTTTTTGGGTGACGCTTTTGAGTAGACCAGCTGTTTCAGAACTTGTCTGCTGACCGCAGCTGACAGATAATTTTTACATTTAAACACATTTTATTTTGTAGGATAAAGACAGTGGCAGAACTACACTTGTTGTTGGTCAATGGAAAGAAGAGCAACATCTAGACTGGGCAAAGAAGAATGCTGCAAGACTGTTCCACCCTCCAGGAGACGGGGTCCAGACTGTGAGGCAAGTCACTGTTCTCACGCCAAAGATTAGGGGTGCCGCTCCAGGCTCCTGTCTGTCCAAGTTTGGTAACACACTAAAAAGTGCAGGCTAAGGGAGAGCTCGTCTCAGCTCAGTAGGTGCAAGCATAAAAAACGAACATCCCAGGTACTGAATATACAGAAAAAGCCAACAATTTCCCCCCACGGAGAGACCCTACACAGACCAACACCCCCCTACCCACAAAGAGAGCCTGACATTGACCAACACCCCAGCCCCCCCCACCCAAGAAAACCTTCCATTACCACCACCCCCCATACCCTGGCAAACCCACCCCAGCAAGAGATTAGACACTCACCTTCACAGCTCTGGAAATCCCCGGGAACAAGAGTCAGGCTCTGCATACACCATCAAGCAGCCCGCAGCCTCTCTCAGATCCCGCCTGGTCTCCGTGCTGCGTATGTCCCTTCTCCCTTTCCTTCTTTCAGGGGACGGCGCTGCCCCCCCTGAAAAAAATGCTGCTGCTCCCCTTTAAAATGCCGCCCTAGGTAAATGCCTTGTTTGCCTTGTGGTAAATACACCCCTGCTACTGATGCGTTTTGTCCCACCCACGGGGCTTAGTAATGACGCAGCCTTGTGAGTGGAGAGAAATGTCAGAGCTTGGCCTGAATGGATTCTGGGCTGGTCTGCTTTTACTACAGAAATTGTTGGGTTTTGCTGGATGTTTGGCACCTGGGATGTTCCTTTTTTTTTTCCCCAGGTCACTGTACTACTACATGTCCCTCTGTTTAGTAAAATGTTCAAGAACATGTGAAGGAGTAGGTTACGCATGTCCTGAGCCTCTTTATTACATTAGTATAATGCCCTGTGACAGCATTAAAGCAGCATTTTTTTTTTAAATATATTTTTAATTATTGCCTTAAATATTCTGATCCGCTGTAGCAGATTAAGAGGCCAATTTTTAATCCTTTAGAGCATGGGTGTCAAACTGGCGGCCCTCCAGCTGTTGCCAAACTACAAGTCCCATGAGGCATTGCAAGATTGACAGTTACAAGCTCCCAAAGGCAGAGGCATGATGGGACTTGTAGTTTCACAACAGCTGGACAGCCACCAGTTTGACACCCCTGCTTTAGAGAAGAGACTGTGTGGCTGAAGTATCTAGAATCTAAGTGATTTCATCTTTCACATTCAAATGTATTAAAATGAATCCGTAATTATTAAAGGCTAAGGTCACCTTTATGGGGGAAAAAAAACAGGAAAATTGTTCATTTATTTGTTTTTGCAGGAGTCTGCAAAGCATTGCAACCATGATCCGTGGAGGGTGGGTGCAGTGTCGGCCTCCTGCAAACTCTTCCTCCAGCTGGAGGCCATGTCATTGAACTACGAGCAAACTGATTACTGTGCTGGTGATTTATTGAGTACTACAAGTCCGCTGGATGCGGTGGAACATGGGACCTGTAGTTAAAGTGGAGTTCCACCCAAAAGGGGAAGTTCTGCTTTAAAGATTGGTCTCCCCTCTCCCCATTAAGGATTGGCACCTTTGGGGAGCGGGGGGGGGGGGAAGTGGGTACCCAAAATTAACAGGTACCCGCTCCCACTTTCGCGGCGATTGGAAGCGGAAGTTGTCCTCCTACCCTCCCTCCCCGTAGTCTTGTGGGACACGTGACAAGTCCCAGAAAATGACAGGGCCATTCAGGAAGCGCAGAGCTTCTCGTGCATGCGCAGTGGGCACCAGGCTTTGAAGCCGCAAGCTGTCACACACTGAAGATGCCGGCACCTGGAATACAAGACGGCCAGTGAAAGGGGCTGCAGGGGGGGCACCGTGGGATCGTGGGACCGGTAAGTGGCTGTTTTTTAAAAATCGGCAGCTACACTTTTTGTAGCTGCTGACTTTTATATTTTTTTACAGTGTGAGTGGAACTCCACTTTAATTTACTCTCAAATCAATGTAATCAATCATGAGAGTTTAACCCCCTGTATGCTAGGTCCCAATGAAAGTAATGGGAAACTACTTCATCAATTATTCTCAGCGGATTTCAAGCCCGGTTGAAGTCCTGCACTTTTTTTTTTTTTCCTTTTAATAGACCTGTACTGCTGTATGGTATTGTTTTTGACTGGTTTTTCACTTGTAAAATACCTTTAAAAATTAGTTTTCCTTTACAATACATTTTCCCTCATGTATCCCAGTGTCCCCTGTATATTAAAAAACACTACTCAGGTTTTGAAAAAGAAGCTTCTTGTGACGGGAGTGACTTTTGGGGGTGGGGGGACCGCTTGGTCAACTCATGTCCCCCTCATTATGTTTAACCCACCCTGTGCCTGTTTAGGGGTACAGGCTGTGAATGTCCCAGTATTGTGCTTTTGAGTGTTGTCCTTTTGTCTTTGTTCTCAGCCATGTGGCTGTCCATTGTTTGTTTGCCATGTGCTACCCCCCATTGTGCTGTGTCTTCCTGTCCAGCCAACTATTATGGGATGCATGTGTCCCTGTATTGTCCCTGCCATATGGTTGCCTATTGTTCTATGCCATGTGCTTCGTCCCATTGTTCTGTGTCTTGGTGGGATGGGGCGGGCTGATGATGTATTTCCTGTTCCTGGTTGTGTTTCCCCGCCCTCTGTATATATCCTGTGTTTTGTGTTAAAATAAAGAGAGTTGGCTTCCTGTGTTAAGAAGAGCTGGGTGCTGTCTGTTTCCTGAGGGATTTCAAGGGTGTGGTCCGTGGATGGTGTTCGGACAGGGGAAGCTCTGGTATAATGGAAAAACTCAGTGCAGTCTGGGTTCCAGTTCCGTTACACTTCTATTCAATGTCATACCTGTAGGCCAGCCTGCCACAAGCCTGTCCAAAAAACTCCTAGGTAGGCGCATTTTAGTAAAACTGGTTTCCTACAACATGTTTTTCAGAATGGTGTCTCATTACTATGGCGAAGGAGATATCTGTGACTTCACGAATAAGCCAAGACACGTCATAGTAAAACTAAAGTGAGTATATTGTGTGTGTTCTGCTTTATAACAGGCTGTGTATATAGCAGGATGTCACTTATGTTGGTGTGATTGCTGTTCTTCTCTTTGTGATAGGTGTAAAGAGTCCGAGTCCCCACATGCTGTTACTGTATATATGCTCGAGCCACAAACCTGCCAGTATGTTCTCGGGGTAAGTACAGCTTTCTCACTTCATACTAAACGATCAGTGAAAAGTTAGCTTTTAAGAGGCCTGATCATATAGATTGTGTAGAAAATGGAACTAGATTTAAAGCGAACCTTCTCTCACTTTTACATATTTATTGCATGCTAAACCCCCCCACTCCAATATCCTTTACATTCCTTCAGTAAATCACAAAAATTAAAAAAAAAATATTTGGGGGATACCCTTTTTTTTCAGCTTCTGCCTTTCTTGACTAGACGAGAATGACATCCCCCCACCATTCCTGGTATTCCTGGGATACCTATGCCATGCATCCCAGTAGGCTTTGAGGCTATTTAGAAGACACTGCACATGTGCAGTGTCATTAGGGGGCTGGCTGCTAGGACTTTTCAATAGACAGCTTCCTGATTATGTCAGCAAAAAAAAGATGATGGTGTGGGGCCCAGCCTGGGTGGCAAACATGCCCCCCCCCCTCCTTCCCCATAGATACAATAAAAAAAATTAGTGTAGACATGAATACATACATTTTTGTGAATCGCTTATAAATTTACTCTACTCGTGATTTTTTTAAAATGTTATGTCGATTATTAGTAATGCCATTGGAAGGATAATTTACCCAAAACCAATTTTTCTGGATTCTACACCCTAAATTACCTGCCACCTTGTTTTAGGGTATTCTAGTTGTCCAGGAAAATATTCTTATAAATGTCTCTTAAAAATCTTCTAGTTTATGGACAGCATAACTCTTCCAATTAAAGGAAACCTGCAATAGTTTCCTGTCTCTGCCTTCAGTATTTTGCGACGAACTGGTCATGAACATAAATTCTAACTATAAACTCATATTTGAATCAGAACTTTAAAGTAATAAAGGCATTGAATCAATATGACAGCCAGGCAACTGGCATTTTTGTGTTAGCTGGGATACCAGAGTCAGATTGCCATACCCAAGCTTTTTTAAAAAAAAAAAAAAAGGTCCTAAAAGAAACAATCATTTGCAGAAGGATTTCCCCTTTTAACCCTTGCTAGTGCTATATGCCAACATATTTGTTGTCTGAAGTGCCATTCAGTGTGTTTTCATACAATGTCTTCAGGTGGAATCTCCGGTGATATGCAAGATTCTGGATACTGCTGATGAAAACGGCCACCTTTCAGTTCCTAACTGATAATCAAAATCATACTGAAAAATCTTCTGGGATTGTGATGGGTTTATGAGATTTCCCAATCTTCTGGACCTGAATCAGCGGGATCAACACTGTACAAAGGAGAACTGTTCTAAGATTTTGTGTATATGTGTGTGTATATATTGGAAATACAGATTTTAAATACAAATGGCTTTTTTTTATCCACTAATAGGTTTACTAAAGAGGTACAACTCTAATTCCAAAATAGTTTGGACGCTGTCTAACATAAACACAGTATAAACCCACATTTATTCACAGTAGAAAACATATCACATGTTTAAAGAAAATGGACCATTTTATAATTTTGAAATTGATGACAGCAACATGTCTCAAAAATGTTGGGACAGGGCAACAAGAAACTGGCAAGTAAGTGGTACTAACAAGGAAGAGCTGGAAGAACATTTTGCAACTAATTGGTTTAATTGGCTACAGGTCAGTAACATCATTGGATATAAAAAAAGCATCTTAGAGAGTCAGTGTCTCAGACGTAAAGATGGGTAGAGGTTCACCAACCTGTGAAAAGCTACACTTTGAAATTGTTTGACAATTTTAGTAATGCTCCTTGATGTAAAATTGAATAGACTTTAAATATATCATCTTCTTCTACAGTACATAATATCTTCAAAAGATTCTGAGAATTGAAATATTGGATGCCCATAATCTTCTTGCCCTCAGATTGCACAACATATTAAAAAAATTTGCATGATTCTGTGATGGACATCACTGAATGGGCTCTCCGGAATACTTCCAAAAGTCCCTGGCTGTAAACAGAGTTCACCGTGCCATCCAAAAATACAAGGTAAAGCTCTATGATGCAAAGAAGCCATATCTGAACGTGGTTCAGAAACGCCGCCGTCTTCTCTGGACCAAGGTTCATTTAAAATGGTCTGTTGCAAAGTGGAAAACTGTTCTTTGATCAGACAAATCAAAATGTAACATCCTTTTTGACATCCATGGGTGCTGCATCCTCCAGACTAAAGAGGAGAGGGACCTTCTGGCTCGTTATCAGCACTCCGTTCTAAACTTACTATTATTATACAGGATTTATATCGTGCCAACAGTTTGCTCAGCACTTTACAATATAAAGAGAGGCAATACAGTTCAATACAATAGGGATAGGAGAGCCCTGCTCCTTGGAGCTTACAATCTAGGACCCTGCATCTCTGATGGTATGGGGTGCATTAGTATGTAAGGAATGGGCAGTTTGTACATTTGGAAAGGCACCATCAATGTGTAAAGATATATCCAGCTTTTAGAGCAGCTTATGCACAAGCAAGAATGGGACAACATTCTTCTCCAAAAACTCCAGCAATTGGTCTCCTCAGTTCCCATTTACAGAGTGTTAAAAGAAGAGGAGATGCTATACCATGGTAAACATGGCCCTGTCCCAACTTTTTTTTTTGAGACGTGTTTGCTGCCATCAATTTTCAAAATGGCCTTTTTTTCTTAATGTGAACATTTTCTCAGTTTAAACATTTGATATGTTTTCTATTGTAAATAAAATACGGGTTTATGAGATTTGCAAATCGTATTCCGTTTTTTTATGTAGATTTTGCAAAGCGTCTCACCTTTTCCGGTTGTAGATTCTGATCACATTAAAAAGCGCCGCCAGTCAGTGTCCAGCAGTGCCGCCTATCAGTACCCATCATCAGTGCCGCCTATCCATGCCACCTCAGTGCTGCCTATCAGTGCAGCCTCATCAACGCACATCAGTGATGGAGAAAAATTACCTGTTTGCAAAATTTTAGAATAGAAACAAAGAAACCTTTTTTTTTTTTTTTAAATTTTTTGCTGTTTTTTTTGTTTATAGCGCAGAAAGTAAAACACCCAGCGCAAGTAAATACCACCAAACGAAAGCTCTATGTGTGAGAAAAAAATGATAAAAATTTCATATGGGTACAATATTGCATGACTGCGCAATTGTCATTCAAAGTGCGACAGCGCTGAAAGCTGAAAATTGGCTGGGCAGGAAGGGGGTATAAGTGCCTGGTAGGCAAGTGGTTAAGAACATAAAGGAATAATCATAATTGATACCTTGCAAATTAATGAACAATGTATGCAAAAATAAATTCTTATCAACACCCGCCCTCAATCCCCTAGTGCAGTTTCCGTGTTCTCTCTAGGTGTGCGCTTGCCCTCTAAAATCTCCATTTTGCTGGATGGGTACTTGACCATGCTCCCTGTGGTCAGGCTTTGGTTGTGGAGTTGCGGCACACACACTGACCTGCATATCTCTTCTGGGACTACATACCTCAATACATTAATGAATCTACACTTGCCACACGCTAAAATGTGGTCACCGTTGTGTGCCGGTGGTGGGGGAGCGGTGCCTTGCATTATTACAACATAAAGTACTGTTTACCTTTTTTTTCCCCCTGCAACGCATTGAAGTCACCTATCTGTTTCTGTACCACAGTGGTGCATGTAAATGAATGAAATGTCACTGTGACTTTTCAGTAAAGTTAAAGCCCAACTCCAGGAAAATAAAAAATATCCCCTTTTTCAGTGGCACTCTTACCCCCTCCCCCCGGATTGCAAGGGTTAAAGCGATTCTAAAGGTTCATTTTTTTTTTTTTTCCCCGGGAAAATAACAAACCTGTTATACTTACCTACTGTGTGCTGAGGTTTTACACAGAGCAGCCTGGATCCTCCTCTTTTCGGGGTCCCCTCAGACTCTCCTGGCCCCTCCTTCCTGTCAGGTGCCCCCACAGCAAGCAGCTTGCTATGGGGACACCCATTGCTCCGTGTGGCTTGTGACACATGGAGCGACGGCTGTGAATCACAGTAGCGGGAGCCATTGTTGTCTTAGCCAATGAGGAGGCAGAGACCCAGGACAGTTGTGCACATCGCTTAATCATGATGAAGCTCAGGTAAGTATTGGGGCTGGGGGCAATGCTGCACACGTTTTTTTACGTTCATACATAGACTGCATGACGGCAAAAAAAAACCTTCAGCCTTTACAACCACTTTAAATGCAGTCTAGGAACAGAGGATTAGGGGTAAATACTCCAGCACTGCGACTGTTCCCTGCAGCCTGCTCTGGAGGTTGCACTCCAGCCTCCTCTGCATCCCATACAGGGTTAGTGTCCTTATATTGTATGTCATGATGCTGAGACTGTACCCACAGATGGGAGTTTTGGGGTGGGAGAGGGGAGCGCTGAAGCTGGGGGTGTAAGGTAAGTGATAAAGCCACATCAACCTAGACATAAGCAGTCTGGGGGGAAGGAACCACTGAAAGGGTGGATATTTTCATTTGGGCCTGAAGTAGGGTTTTGACTGTATGACAAAGTGACATTTCATTCATTCCTATACACTGCAGCTCAGCTGCACTGCAGAAATGAATGGTGACTTGAGCTTCAGTGCATTGTAGAAAAATGCATGTCTACATTTTTCCACATCACAATGCAACCAACCTGAAGGTAGTGTAAACAGGGCTCATAGAAATCAATTGTTTTTTATTTGCCTTTGTAGTGACTAGCATTGACCAGGTACATAAAAATATATCAGTGACCCCCCCCCCCCCCCAATAGCTGCTGCAAAGTGGCAGAATCATAGACATTGCAGTGGGACCGTAATCTGTTTTGTGTAATGCTTCTTGCTGACCTTGTTCAAAGTCACCTAAAAATCCCCTTTCCTGACAGCTCCATGTCAGCACAGCCGGGTAATGACTCCACTACCCCCCCTCCCCCCATGCTTCCAGGACCTAACTCATACATTTGAGCACACCTGCAGTCTCGGCGTTCCTCTTTTTTCCTCCCATGTGCAAGACCTAGGTGTGCTCCTCTACATGGCTGGTGTAAAGGGCTGTCTGTCTGTCCATGCGTGTGGGTTTCAGCTGGACGCGGTCCCTGGTGTACCCGCTAAATTACCCATAATCCAGAGAGCCTCACTGCTGGTCCTTGTGTTGGCTTTTATCACGGCCTTGCCTGGGGTCCGCTGGGTCAATGTGAAGTGGGCAGCGGTGTCAGCAGAGTCCCCTGTAGGCACGCACACCCGCGTGTGCCAGTGTCTACAGCTGGATGCTGCAGGTTGGGTGAGCTAAATGTAAAAATGCGTTGTATCCAAATGAATACTGCATTGCTGGCTATTGTTGTGCCTTGCTCCCTGCAGCCACTGTGCATACCCTGAGCTCCTCCATAGATAGTACCCTGCATAACGGGTGTACAAAGTAATACTTTGTCTGTTCACACATGGCATTAACCCTTTGGTAGCTTCTCATGTTTGTGTTACTATTGTGCCATTATGCCAAACCCCTCTAAAGACCAGCATTCCCAGAGAAGGTAGAGGAGTTAACAAACAAGCAGTACTGGGGTTACTGTGACTGATCCCCACAAGTGTTACATTAAATCTGTATATCATACAACAGTGAGTGGTGCAGCCCTGTCCACACAAAGAGCGTGCATCCAATTACTGTTTTTTTATTTCACACTTCTATAGTGGCGAGTAAGTAAAGATGCTATTTTGGAAGATCATTGCATCCTATTGTACCTCGCTCTCCTTTTTTTTTTGATCCCCACTACAATTCAAAAGCTTACTGTCTTGCATAATTGAAATGAAAGGGCAGTGAGACCTCACATGAAAATGACAGGACCCAGTATGCCGTTAATTCTGCCTTTATTATGTGAGCCATTGTGCTTGCCATTGGCAGATTTGTGAAAAAAAAAAAGGACAAGCACAAAAAGGAAACTCCACCATTATACTGAGACTTCAATGTCTAGTGAAGTCCTGATTAGGGAGATTGAACATATTGTGAGGCAAGCCATTGTTAAACAGTACAACCAGGTATTGACCAAATTCAAATCCAAACCTCCCTCTCCTGCTCTGGAGCATATCACAGCATTTTTTTTACTCTGTTCTTGTAGCCAGAAATAGCTTTTATCACTCCCTGTGATGCCAGAACCAGGCTTGTAAAATTCTAGCAAAGGTTCTGCTGGGAGCTCAGTTACTATTGACATAGGCAAGCCTCCGAAAGCCACACTCTC